CGAATTTCATCATTTTTTTTTTGCAAATCTGGGATTATTTTATTTGTGTTGAAAATCCGAGTTTTTGATTTGATTTTGGTTACAAATCTAACTTTTTTGTTCGATTTGGCTTACAAATCTGAGTTTTTGATTATTTATGGGTTAGTTTTATTTTTGATGTTCTTCTTACACTTCTAGGGTTTTGACATTTTTTATAAGAATTTTTTACAATGTTTTAAAAGTTTTTTAGGCTTATAAAATTTATAAAGTTTTTTTACAGTTTTTAAAAGGTTTATAAAATTTATAAAGTTTTTTAAGGGTTTATAAAGTTTTTTAAAGCTTTTGTTAGACTGTGTAAAATGTTTATAATTTTTTTTAAACAATTAATAAGAGTTTTTGTATCTATATTTAAAAATTGAACAATTGAAATAATAATTTATAACTTTTTTAAAAGGTGTATAAAATTTTTAAACGATTTATAAGGATTTTTATAAAAATTATAAAAATAATTGGTATGGTCACCAAAATAAGGACGAAAATTGTGGTTTGATTGACCATCATTTATTAATTAAAGCTGGGTAATACGATTAGTAGACAAATTAGTTGTTTTCCTTAAACTTTTGAAAACTATAAATGTTGGAAGATAGTTGGACATGATATATATGGGTCTTTGTGTTGTGTACTTATGTTTGATATATTGTAGCTAGTAAGATAGCCTAAAACAATCTTTAAATAAGAAAAAGTAATAACTTACAGTTATTTCTGTACTATAGAAAAATAAAGAAATCTTTTGTTCTAATCTAAATGTTTCAATAGATTTGCAAAATAGGTTTAAAAAGAAATGAATCTTGAGAATTAATTTAATTAAATAAAAGACTATTTTATCTGGTTAATCTTTCATCCGCTAATAACTATACTCTATATCAATAACATAAAATACATAAGTTGATTATAAATGACTATAGCTATTAAAAGCAAATTTAAAAATCTTAATAACTATGTTCAAAACTGTACTTGAAATATAAAATAATTATAGTAAAAATCATCAAATAATATTTGGAAATATGTCAAAAATATTATTCTTAACATCATAAAAATTATAGTACATCATACAATATCAACATGGTATATCTAATTGTTAGATCTATGTCATTTATGCAATAATTTAACTATGTGGAAAACTACTTTTTTAATTGTCTCGAATATAAGCTAAGCTACTATATATATCGCCATTTGAAAGCTTTTCATCTCAAAATAGCCACAAAGTACAACTTTTTCAAACTAACCTCAGAGCATATTACTTGGAAAACAGTCACTGAAAGTTTCTCAATTTCTTATCATCAAAGTGACAATGAAATACATAAATATTTTTTTTTTGGGCAAAAAATACATAAATCTATAAGCTGAAGCTGACGAACAAATATAAATGTACAAAAGGCCTTACAGGGAGATCATCAAGAGCAAGTAACTATAAACTGAAAATTTATGACATACATATATCTTATTTAAATTAAACGTTAACACATGTGAAATCTGATACCTTTTTTACACACACATAATATCAAAGACACATATTAGTAACCACAATTAAACTATGTTGACGAGGACTTTATTTTAAAATCACCATAATAGAAATGCGTCCCAAATGTTGTTCCATTAACATTGTAACAATTACTATTATCAGCAGCGGAGTAATGTCCCACTGGTTCTCTCAAAATATTTGTCCCATCAACCGTCTTAAGATTCCTGATATAGCTCGCTTTCTTAAACCCTTCGTCTGCCAAACGCCCGCTTCCCATATCCATGGTTGAGTGTGTCACACCGGTATGCACATAGATTTCGCCTCCCCATTCAACATCCGTTGCTCCATCTCCTAGAGAATTGAACAATGAGCCGGCCAGTACCCCATAAAGTCGTTGTCATTGATCAGTATAGCCACCAGTTTCCTGTTTCCTGGTCCTGGTAATTGCAAAATATTAATTTCAAATGACTTAGGAAACAAAATATGCATATTGCGGTTCAAGATATAATAGATTCATAAATATTTTGTCAAATATTGCGGTTCATGATATAAAATACAGAGATTCCAACATTTTAAGATTCAAATATTGTGGTTCATGTCACCGTCAGAGCTACCGCAAAACTGGCCATTCCCATTATGGTTGATTATAATCCTTAGGATATAGTACTCTTTGAAACTTTTTGTTTTCCTTAATCAATTACACTTAGGAATTTATATATAGGAGTAGACGCCATATATTCCAAAAATTAAGAAACCAGAGCTCATAATTAATTATGATAGATTTGTCAGTGGTTACAACAATAATATAGTACTATGAATAAATTAAATTTGACCTATGACTTGAACATCACCCCATGCATCTTATGATGAAACACGTTATATTGCTCATATTATTAATGTTCCGTATTATGGCAATTTAAACAGAACGTGTAGTTTGGGCAAAACATTCTGAGTCTGACCTATTCTTGCATGGGGCTACTGAGTGATAAGTGAATTAGAGCTTTATTTATTTAATTTTAGATACAAAAAGTCTCCTTACATTAAGAGCTTAAACTTAAATGATCCTGAAATTTTTAACCATCAAACAAAAATTATCTTCGTTTTCTAATGTCTATAAGAAAATATACATCTTAAGCAATATCAGTTTTCTTTAATTTTGTTTTTATTCTATAACTAAAAATGACCAATCATTATTCTATTGTAAAGGTTAACTTAAAAAATTGTCTAACTTAGCGAACATATATAACAGTCAAATTTGATATTTATAATCAGAGATTAGTGTTGTTTGATTATAAATTTTAAAATTGACTCGTTCTACTCATTTTTATCCACAAAACAAAATGAAACAACAAAGACAGTATTAAAAAAAATGTTTAAAATAATTAAAAGACAATATTTCCGAAATTTTTTTAAAGATATATCTTTTTAAAAAAAGTAGGAAATTCATCCAATTTCCGATGGATCTCCAACAAATTCAACTCATCGAAAATGTTCGATAGATTAAAAAATCAACAAAAATTCATCAGAAACTTGTTGTAATATGTTTGTATGGACATGTGCCGTGAAAAATGATCATGTTTTTTTTTGTAGTGAAAAAATTAATTCAAAAGAACAAAAAAAATGATATCGCTGTAACTTGTCAACAAATGATGTTGTGATACATTAACATAGCTATACGTATGCTTATTTTAAGAAGCTGGACTACTTCTCCACTGAATGTAAGTGTGCTTTTTCGAAGTTTTGTAGGCTTTCTTCTCTGTTCTTGAATTTCATTTCAGCAGATCTCTGGTTGTTTTGTATGGCTAATTGGTCTCTCCCAATCCTTGCTTAAGCGATTTATTGAATTTGGCAATTTGCAGGTATACACTCTCCTAATGCCTACCGTGGCTTCGCCCGTGAGTTCATCAAAGAGTTGGAAAGACTAAGGTTTTCTTGCTCGACATTTGTTCTGTTAATATCCGTTACAATCAAATAAAGTAAAGTAGAGATCTCTAAGTTATATAAAGTGTAGGCCAAGGGCGATTGTAGACATCATAAAATCTGGTGAAGATTTTAGAATCACGACAACCACAAAGATGCCTGAGCAAGGGACGTGTGAGCGATGCGGGTATATTTCTAGCCAGGTGAGAGACTTTCAAACAAAACCAACTCTTAGCACATCAAGGCAATTGTATGCGTGTAATAATTAGTGTGAATACAATTAACGTTTGCTTGTTTGGACTGCAAATGATATGCAGAAATGGTGCAAAGCTTGTGTTTTGTTGGAAGGACTAAACCGCGGTTTGCCTAAGATGGGTATTGGAAGATCGCGATATACCAAGGAAACAAAGAAGCCTGAATCTACTTCAAAATCTATAGAGATTTCTAAAACTTGGATTAAAATGCTATGGAAACAAAGTGTTTATATTAACTATAAGTCTATAAGATAGTATAAGATTATTTTGAAGAATTTGATACA